CTTCTGTATTAGAGACCTCAGAGGCATCAGTAGCTCATCTACCGCCGCAGGACATTGAAAGTTCAAGCGATCGTATCGTTGAAAAAGAATCAGGAATTGATTATAGCGTGCGTGCTGATGGCAATTACCGCTTGCCAAACAACACCGAGCCCATACATTACGACATCGAATTGACAACGAATGTGCATAACGGTACAAGAGATTTTACCGGCAAAGTTCAAATTCTGATAACGGCTACCGAGGACACAAGAACCATTGTAGTACATGCGCGTCAACTTGAAGGCTTCCTGGCCACCATTAAAAATGCAAGCCAAGCAAATGCAGCTGAGTATGAACTGAGTTGGTCATACGAATCCGAAAGGGAATTCATTAGCTTAACGCCAGTAAACGAAAGTCTCAGCTTTAACAAAGATACCAACTGGACTTTGACTATTGCGTATAATGGCCAATTGCGAACCGACACTGGAGGATTTCATCGACTTTCCTACACTGACGAACTCAATCAAGTGCAGTAAGACAATAAGAAATGCATAATGAAATCACATACATATATTGGTCTAATTGCTAAAAATAATTTGTTACTTACAGTTATATGGCAACAACACAATTCGAGTCCACAAATGCCCGCCACGCATTTCCCTGTTACGATGAACCAGCCAAACGCGCAACCTTCACAATAACCATCAAACACGATCCCTCGTATAGTGCAATATCCAATATGCCGATAAACGAAACCGCCAGCTCGTAAGCATAAACTTTAAATTTAGTGTAATATAAAAATGTGTTACCTAAAAATGGTTTCTNGTAAACGAGACCGCCAGCTCGTAAGCATACAACTTTAAATTTAGTGTAATATAAAAATGTGTTACCTAAAAATGGTTTCTCCTTGCAGGACTGGTGTAACGGTCTTCAATAGGACAAACGTACCTGTCTCCACATATTTGATCGCCTTCCATGTGTCCGACTATGAATGGTCTGAAGGTGTGTTGCATTCACTGCCACACCGGCTCTATTCGAAGCCAGGAACTATTGACAATCATGAATTCGGTCTACTCTCGGGTATATTGATCTTACAGCGCTTGGCCGAGTACTACGATGTGCCTTTTGCGCTGCCGAGAATGGTGCAAGTGGCAATACCTGGTAAGGGTGGCGCTATGGAAAATTGGGGTTTGGTCACTTATGGTGAAGCGTACCTACTTTACAACAAAAGTTCATCGACGTCAAGCTCACAGAACTCCATCGCCAATATCATCGCACACGAATTCACACACCAATGGTTTGGCAATCATGTAGCAGTCAGGTGGTGGACATATCTGTGGCTCAAAGAGGGTTTCGCGACACTCTTCTCATACCATGGCGTAAATGAGGTGAGTTTTTTTTTGATAATCAAAGCAACACAATCAGATAATCAAAACAGATAATGTATGTCACTATGTCGTTTATTATCTCCTCTCTAATACTCTAACATATTTAGGTTAATCCCGAGTGGGACGTCTATCAAATAATGCATACTAGCGACTACCAATCGGCACTTATTAATGACGGTAGAGGTACCGTGGTGCCCATGACCCATTATGCGCAAACACCCAGCGAGATTTCAGCTCGGTACGGTACCTCTTCTTATGCCAAACCTTCCTCGGTGCTTTTCATGTGGCAGCATGCTTTGGGCGATTCAGTATTTCGTTCCGGTTTGAACAAATATCTAACTCAGAAGTAAGTTTTCATATATAGTAGTGCTAAGTTCGCTTAAATCTTACTCAAACCACCCATGCATTCTCCATGCAGCGCATTCGACTCTGCCGAGGAATGGGAGCTTTTTGCAGCACTGCAGAGTGCTGTTGATGAACACCAACTCAGCATTCCCGCGCGCATAGACGTTATGTTCCCCACATGGTCACAGCAATCTGGCTATCCACTACTCACAGTAACACGAAATTACAGCTCCAACACGTTCACGATCACCCAAACTGCTTACAATGATGATGTAAACATTACTTCGGACAAAACATACTACGTGCCATTCAACTATGTTGCCCGTTCCAAGTCAGACTTCCGTAATACAACTGCTTCTCATTACCTCCTCAATACCAGGCAAATCTCTATCACCGACCAAGAAGTTGCCGCTGATGATTGGTTGATTTTGAATAAACAATCCACAGGTTACTATCGCATTAACTACGATGAACAAAACTGGCATTTAATTGCTGATGGCTTGGTAGAGCAACCCCATAAAGTACATCACCGTAATCGCGCTCAGCTTATGTACGACGCTTACAGATTCGTCAATAACGATCGATTGGCAATAAGTATTCTCTTGAGATTGTTTACTTACTTGCCTGGTGAGGATCAATATGCCCCGTGGACAGTTGCAGCCTCCGTCTTAACCACATATAATTCATATCTGAGCGGTAATGCCGATTACAGCGAGTTCAAGGCGTTCGTTGGCTCGCTCGTAAGTAATATTTATGAAAAACTGGGCGTCAATGAACCAGCCGGCGAACAATTTCTTCGCAAATTCACACGAAATACTGTAATAAATCTCGCTTGCTTAGTGGGAGTTGAGAACTGTCTCACCGATGCCAATGACAAGTTGAAATCGCACATAAATAACGGTGTTGACATTGAGCCTAATCTCAGATCGCAAGCTTACTGCAATGGTCTACGTCAAGCTAGCAATAGCGAATATACCTACTTCTTCAATGATTTGCTCAGTTCGAGCGACACCACCCACCGTACCAGACTGTTAAGTGCATTGGGTTGTTCGCAAAACGAAGCGCAATTGCAGTCGTTTGTGAGTAGTTCCATTAATTTAGGCAACTCGTTGACCAGTTCAGAACGCACCAGCATATTGCGTGCAGCCTACTCTCGCAGCCCATTGGGGCTATTGGTCTCTATTGATTTTCTTGGCAGTAANAAGTAGTTCCATTAATTTAGGCAACTCGTTGACCAGTTCAGAACGCACCAGCATATTGCGTGCAGCCTATTCTCGCAGCCCATTGGGGCTATTGGTCTCTATTGATTTTCTTGGCAGTAATTGGGATGCATACTCTAACCTATCTAACAGTACAGGCTCTAGTAATCCGCTTAGCAGAGATATTGTGAGCATGGGCAGTTATGTGAATAATGCAACCCAACAAGAGCAGGTAAGTCGCTGCAGTGAAAATCTGAAAAAATTAGCGATAAGATTTGACGTATGTATTTTAATAATAATTTTACATTTTCAGCTCCTTGCGCTTGTGGACAAAGTTAAGAACAGCGAAAAAGTTCAAACGAACCTGGAAGAAGCAGTCAATGCCAACATAAAAGTGAACTTTGACTGGATAGATAAGAATGGCGGAAAGGTAATAAGCTTTGTGAAAACTTATCGCTCAAATGGCAGTGCCGCACTCAGTGCATCTCTCATGTCTGCATTAATGGCAGTCCTTTTGACGCTGTCGCGCTTTTTGTAAGAAGCGATCGAAACACGAATTTATGAATTTCAACCAAATACAATGAATGCATTACGCTATAAGATATTTAAGTAAGATACATTGATACGAATTGTAAATAGAAAGTATTGATTTTTGTGTACATAATAAAATTAAAACAAGTAAAGAAGTATAAGTTTGGGCGAAACCGAACTTTATATACCCGGCGCAGGTATCAAATATCGTTTCAACTTTCTCTAAACTACTTTTGCATGATAAGCAGAGGGGTTTTCCCCCGTTTTAAAACGTTTTCGATAATATGCTGACTTAGACTTAATGAAATAAGTTTGGCAGAACTCTACAAATTGGTTACCGAGATACACCTTGTAGTCATAAAGTGGGCAATGCCACGCCCAATTCCTAAAAGTCTATAGCAGTCTTATTTATTGTTAAGACATTGTTGTAAACTATTAACTTGGAGTAAATTAGCGTCCTCGGTTATTGAAATATCCGAGTTTTCGGATGTCTGAAATTTACCGTTATACGGAAGTGGGTGTAATTTTAGTCCGAATTGAATAGTTTTCAACCAATTTCTTTCTTGTAGTAAGGTTATTGAGTGCACTGAGTTTGCTAGAAATTGATGAATCGGTTAGCAAGATACGCATTTGTGGTCATAAGGGGGCGGCGCCACGCCCATTATCCAAAAATTTACAACAGCCTTATTTTCTGCTAAGTGGTTATTGTAATTATCGATTTTGAGTTAATTAGCTTCAGTAGTTACTGATTTATCGCATTTGTTGTGTTTCTGCAAACTACCGTTATATGGGAGGTGGGTTGCCCGACTTCAAAGATTTTCAAAAGATTTCTTAGCTAGAAAAACACAAATGTTTTTTCAGAAAAACACAAATGTATTTCAGAAAAAGACAAATGAACTTCAGACAAGCCCAACTGTATTTCAGAAAAGCACAAATCTATTTAAGAAAAATATTTTTGGAATATTTTGAACTAGGAAAACTTTTGCAATGGCAAACCTCCAAGTGTATTCCTCATAAAATCCATTTTCCGTCCTGAGGTGGCGTAAAATTGTGGGTCCATTCATTTGTTTAATAACAAGAAGATGCTGTATTATTTGATCCATGTACTGCAGTCACCTTTCTACCACTCCCGGCCTGCCCGTAGATGAAACGCCCATATTAGTTTTAGCATAATTTTTTTTTATCTACATGTTCACCTTTATCCTTATATTAAGTATTTAAATTTACTTTTTATCTATTACTTTGAGGTAACGGGAGCCGGAGTGAGTTCAGTTGAGTTAAGGTGAATTGACGTAAGGTGAGTTGAGGTGGGATGAGGTAAGTTGGGCTGAGTTAGGATAATTTGAGGTGAGGTGAGGTTAGTTGAAGTAAGGGGAGGTGAACAACATGTCATGACGAGTTGAAGTCTCGCTGTGATACCACGACTAAGAGTTTTCATTCATCCTTGCTAAACCATTTTAAATCCTTAACGAAAGTTGTCAGGCACCTAGGGTTTAAGTCGCTCAATCTGCTCCTCGATAATGCCAGGCAGTTACAGAGAAGGTGGAGAATTGTCTTCTCCTCCTCATAGTTCTTGCAACTTCTGCAGCATCTAGGGTGAAGCAACCGAATCGTTCTACGTTTTTATCTATAAGGCAGTGGCCTGTTAGATATTAGGGATTAGATGTTAGAGCCGCCCGTAGTTCCCTCACACCGACTCCCCCAGCGCTATTATTTGTGGCCGCTTGTCTCCTCTCCCCACAGGATCCAGGCCGTGAGTATAACGGGGACTGCGACATTGGGGACTGGCTTTGCAGACGTGCCGGCATTTAATAGGCACCCAGGGCTACAGAGGTTACCCCAGAGCCGTTCCTAAAATTCCCTCCAAATGACTAGAAGGAGAATTAGGCACTGCCTTTCACCGATTTGGGAGACCCCACTCGAATTCGCTATCCTCACTCGAGCTTTGTAGTCACTATAGGGTCCCGTGTTAGCTATAAGAACGCCTTAGCCTTATCTGGCGAAAATCCAGCTGCCAGACGATGGCAGGGGCGACTCAACCGTTGCCTACAATAACCAACTTAACGGCAACATGATCTGAACGTACTTCGAGGACTTCCAGGGTTTTAATGCGACGGAGACAAGTCACTGCATTATTCTGAAAGCCATTTATGTAGGATGCCCCCCCCCTCCCTTCCATATATTCAGATAACGTTACCCTGTGTGACACCATGGCGAGATTAAAAACCGACACGCGTATCGAATTTGGTTCTCCAAAGTTATCACAGTGCTGCCCCAAAAATCCCTGTATTATGACAATCTCATGTTAAAGTTGCCGTTCGTTTTGTACATAAGAACCGTAACTAAGACCATTGTTTTCTCCTTGTTACCAGTAAGCGATATAGCAAGTACCGGTACTCTTGCCTGCAGGGTATAAACATTGCAATTTAAGTTTTATCAAATACGTGCGTAACTGCAAATGAAAAGTGCAAGTGGAATGCATACATTTTTCATCATATCTTGAGTCCATAGTCAACAAACCCAAGTATACAGCAAAGCGGCATTTTAATTAAATAATTAATAATTATTATTTTCAATATGTGCTTATGTATGCATATACATAAGAAATTTATTATGTTTTCATAAGTCACATTCATCACACAACTTTTCTTAACATCAACTACCTTTTTTCGGGTCCTATACAAAGTTTATAGGGTTTCCCCAATCAATGGCAATCTCACTTTTTAATCACGTACGTGATTATGACAAGAAAAAGGTAATTTACAGATGTATGTCAATAGGTCCTGAGATATTTATGAACTTTTTTATGTACACTTGTATGTGGGTATTAACTATTATTTTCACATAATCCATACATAGACATACATTAGGGTTATGACTTTTATTATTTAGATTCAAAAGCCGAAAAATTGCATGACTTCGATATTTTTCTTTCAATTGAGAAGCCCAGATAAAGAATAGAAGTAACGAGCGTCACAAAGTTTACCATAAAGCTTTGAGGTCCGAACGCAGGTCAATAACAGATACATTTAATGAAAAGCCAATTCTAATACAACCAATAGTCTCCAAAACAGTTACGATTATATTTGTCATAACCTAGAATATAGTTTACTCCAACTAATTTCGGGTCGGTGGTTCCGAATTAACGCTCAGCTTTTTTATTGAGCTATAGTTTATAAATTATATTAAATTTATGTATAATAAAAATTTTGCCATAGGATGCTTTAAGGGGTCCATCCCAGAAAAAGTTGGTACATTCTGGTTAAAGCGTATCTTAGCAATAAGTCTTCACAAAATTAGGATGTTTCCCGAAGCTATCTACCAAGGGGTATCATATGACATAATCGGTTGCAAAATTCAAACAAAGTCATAACCCTAATATTTATAGTGCTTATCACAATTATATGCCACCCACATATTGACATGTTATACTTTAACAAATACTGTTTGCAATATTCAAATAAAATAAATCAAATTTCGTAAAAATTTCGAGTTTTGTGGTTAGATTTCTTTGAAAGATTTTGAGTATGAAATTTTTAGTCCATTCAATTTAAGTGTAATAAAGTGCATATGTGATGTAACCAGGACTTACCGTTGATGTTTGGATTTTTTTTTCTTTTTTCTTTTGTTAAAATACACGACGTATTTGCCAAGAATTTTTTAAATGGAGAAAATGAACAACACCTTCTAAAACAACTGATTTGTAAAAAATAAACGAAAGTCTTAGCTACTTTAAGCATAGTTTAAAACTTGCATTTATACTGTTTTTGTGAAAGAACAAACTATGTTTTCATAAAAACATTAAAAGAAAATTAAATAATAACAAAATTTATAGTCAAAACTTCTGAATATTTGGGCGACGTATAATTGTGATATGCACTATATATTTATCTATTTGGAATCCACGTTTTAGATTTATTTGTTATCGATTTCGTGATGAAGCTTCGAACTCCGATAAGCGATACGCAATAAATCTCTTCTAGGTGAATACCGTATAGCAACACGAGCTCTTATTTGCGAATGAATAGGCGAATTATAGACTTATAGGTTTCTAATTAACTCACTTATGTAGGATTTTGCATGCAGAGCTGAGCACTTTATGATAACGATTACATTTCACTTACGATGCTTAATTGTAATCCTTAAATTATATACGATAACGATTACTTTAATTGCAATTATAACATGCTTGATTGCGAATACTTTAATTCTAAGGATTAAATTTCAACGAAAGTACGGTTTCTGCATATTGAACCAAACCTTTTTATCCGAGGTCGCTCAACCTCTGTAATGTCAGGTTCGGGGTCAGTTGGGCGTCAAATATGGAATAATTTATTGAACAAAGATAAAAATTTATATACATAGGTTTTTGTTGTCGCTGAATCCGAATACTTATGGGGATCCCTTGATTCTTCTAGATCGTCCAGACGTCAGGCCAAGGTTATTTAGAAGTCAAATCAAAAATAATTGTTTTGAATTTTCAGGTTTATTCAATGAGTTTTTTCCTACCTAACCTTTAAATGACCACGAACCTGACGTTCGAACCTCGGATTCGCATTCAGCGCGTCGTAGAACAAAGAGATATAGTTGTTTGGTTTAATATGTGGAAATTTTTTTTTGTAAGCCTATGTAATTATTATGGAATAAGGACTAACATTGGTAGAATTATAGTTAAAGTTTCTCCTCTTACTACGGATGCTCCGTTGAAAAAATGTGAAAATATAGAGAATCTAAATTAATTAGTAAATAGTAGCGTTACAAGACGAAAATTTATTATCGAAATTTATAGATCCAAGGACAGAACAAACGAACGCGTTCTAGTCTTTTAATGTGGTCCCCATAGAAGAGTAGCCCATTAGTAAGTAAATTCACAACCTAGCCTTCGATTGAAGGCTAGTAGAGGATATGACTTTGCGGGTAATGAGGTAATTTAATTGGCAGTGAAACAAAGATTCTGAGTAAACAAACAACTCCAGGGTCAGCTTAGCCGTTAATTACCAATAAAATAGGAGGTATTTGAACTGTGAGCTCCGACCTACGAAGCCACTTTTCTATTCGTTGAACTTAGCTGATCTAAAACCCTATTTACAACATTAGTTAGACCGATTCTGGAATACGGTACGGTGTTTTGGAATCCAAGGTATCAAATTTACTCAGACAAG